TTTTAAAGGGGTAAAACGAAAGTACTCCATTCCCTCTCAGTCAGACGAGTCCACATATCATGCATTTATTGGCCGATGTTGCCAGTTAAAACAATATCAATGAGCCTCAAATGGGAAATCGAACACATCACACCAGATCTCTAAAATTTACGGAGGATATCGCCGGTAATGAAGCTGAAGACAGGCAGAGTGCCACACAATGAAGGAATGAAAAGGCTGATTGCATGTTCTCATCCTGAAAAAGTTCAGGCAAACGTGTTTTCCGTGAGAACACAAAATCCCCGGGTGTCTTGCTTCATAACAGCCCGAAGGAAGCACGAGATCCGAGGTACTAACGGCATGCCCAAACATAAATACGAGCAACCAAGATTCCGGGGCTGGGTGCGAGCCACGGAACTTAAGGTTGGTCATTTCGCACCTTAACCATCTCGCAGTAAGGTTTATTTATGGTGTACTCTTGAGTGCACAAGACTGCTTCGCATAAACAAACCAGATCCGATACATGCACCTCCTTCAACTACTTATACGGACGGCTGTTCTCAACTCAACCGGCAAACTACCCCGAGATTCATAAATGCCCAGTCAACAGGGGATGTGATGGATATGACCTAGAGAGTCTGCCTACAGCAGTGTCAGGAGCGAGATACTTGAGATGTCAACCGAAGGACTCATCGCTAAAGTGGAACAGACGGCCTGTCAGAAGTAAAGCACTCGGATTTCCGTAACCAAATGACGGAAACGTCTTAGGTCGATGTACTGCGATACCAAATTGAGTTTGGTAGTTCACTCCCTTCATGGAATAAACAAGTAAGTTCCGCAAGAAAATTCAGCTCCACCGTTAATTTCACTTACTGAAAATGATCCCCATTCATATTTATTGGTAAGAGAAACACCAAACTTTGCTGGTAGCACCGGTATATTCGGCGGCAAACGTACCGCCGTCGAGAGTGAACCATGCTTCCTCCCTCACCATGTCCATGCCAGTGGAAAATGCAGTTTGGCCGTAAAGACCTGGATGTTACTTCTCGACCTACTCCATGCGTTGTGCGAAACGAAACCCCCATTAGAACATACCCGACATCTAACGATACTGGTAGTGAGACAAGTCGGATCCCTCGCGTTTTCACAGGCGATTGGAAGGTTGTTAGAGGTACACGACCATCTAGTCAGATATCAATCGTTGATGATTCATTACCTACACCATCCACGCTATTCGTCCAGAGTATAGCACATGCTCCAAGGGAACGTAGTGGCTGCTAGGTACCAGCCAGACTTGTCACCCGGTGAATACGTATAGTTCCATACAGCACTGTCACTTCTCTACTTTTCGAAGCGAATTGATTCCGTGACCAGCATGCAAAAAATGACTGAGAAAGCGAGTAACTGGTAGTATATTCCAGCTTTATTCTACAACCGTTGTGTTGACACTTTTATCGCCAAAGATAAACACTTTTCGAGGTTCTTTTATTATTATTTACCCTAATCACAAGCTTCCTATAACCGATGAGACTCAAAGGAGTTCACGAAACGCCACTTAGACGAACGGGAGTTCATGTTCAGTTTACCTTAAAAATGTTTAGATAACCTGCAGTTTTCCATGTTCCCCCGAACCACTTACAAGCACGGTCTGGTGAGATTGCATTAAGGACTGAAGATGACATCTAGCACGGGTCAGGTAGCATGAGTCTTCAAGGCTCTATTAGTAAACGGTTGTCACGACCACTCAATTCCGGTTACAATTAGGCGTCCTGCTCTACAATAGTATAACTCCACAGAATAAGGAAGAGGTGGCCATTGGTCTCAGTCACAGTAACTTCCAGTTGCACGATTGATTTACCCTACTGGGGGACTTTCATTGAACAAGCAAGGAAATTGTTCGACCGCCCCTTCTGTCGCCCGTAGTCTACTACCGTTAAGAAATCCACTAGGGCTATCTAGTAAAGCCCATTGGTACGACATGGAGTGGGGGGAAATTGCCTGTAGAATGGGGTACCTCAAGACCTATTCCTGTCCTTAAAATGGTACGCGGACGCTGTGAAAACCACCCTGGCATCAGCCTCGTAGCTGTGGCACCGAAGTTGCCCCTGGTCTTATACCTCGGAGGTTAACTGAACACAGAGGCAGATTCGTGGAACACAGAAGCTAGGTTCCGTCCTTCAACACTGGTCCCGGCAACCAACAGTGGCTTTCTCTGACTTGAAATCAGCCTTTGCCTCTGCGGACCGCCAGGCGCCACGGTAGTGTCTGTGCAGCAATCTCCATGAATTTATGACCCTCTTTGACGCGCTGTAAGCCAGCACACGCAGACGTGCGAGGATCAAAGTGAGGCTGTCGCCTGATTTCACCACGTCAATCAGTGTCAGCCAAGGCTGTCCTCTTTCACGGCTCCTCTACACCACCGTCATTGATACGATTATGGAAGCCCCACTCCCAGCCTCTAATGCGTGTGGGGTTGAAATCCCGACGTAATGTCCGTTTACAGACGTCGAGTACGCCGATGATCTCGTTCATATTGGATCGGACGCCGCGTAATGTGAACATCAAATAATCGAAGTGATTCTCCGTCAACGTTTAGCATGAACTTCACACCAACAATGTGCATCAAGACCCAGGGGATTCGAACCCTAACCTCATGCTTGCGAATAAGGTAGTAGGCCAACCTGTCAACCTTGGAAGCTCTATCAGTTGCTGGGGCTCCGCAATTCAGACAGGAAAGGCCAGAGTAAGTTCTTGTGAACCTGCATAACCTGTGACGTAGACATGACATCCGCTGATCCGTCAAGGGTCTAGTTTACAATGCTGCTGTGCGCTCCATACTATACGTCAGACACCATAGCCTGTGTGCGCTGTGGCAACAAAAGACTTGGTATTTGATGATCGACGTTGTCAGGGAATTGCTCGAGTCTGGTGAGAACACCGGGTCAGTAATGCTGAAGTACGTCGGATAGTTTCCGGAAATAACTCATCCACGATAAATAAAAATTGTCACTCTATACGTTGCCGTCTTGTTCATGTACTCGATATGCCAGTGGACCGAACTGCTCGGAGGGCCCTTGTCGCACGATCACGCAAACGGCGGAAACGAACCAAGGGGGCAGCCATGTACGAAACCCATTGAAAGCTAACCCAGCTGCGCTGGTCGGCTGGCAGGATAGCGACCAGGACACACCAATAGCTCAGGAACAATGTAAGACATGAACCGATCGCGCGTCTCACAGCGCTCGAGCATCCAAGCTTTACCCTTTAATGCAGTCCCCTCCCAATTCTCCCGATGAAAATTCAACTGATACCCCTGTACCCACGCATTAATCACATTAGATACCGCCTCCAGTGTGTAGCTGACGGCCCCACTTCCCGAAATCATCGGAGCGAAAGTGAGAGCTGGAACGATTGTGTGGAAAGTACAGGGGTTCCGTTGCTACTGGCGTTGATGATAGTCAGTGAGGCCGTACTGTCACGCTAGTATAATTGGCCGGCGTCGCGTTTCTCGGGCATGTCTGAACACGATATAGAGTGGTTGACGCAGTTAAACGTGCAGTGAGTTAGACACGAAAACGAAACCAAGTCTCTAGGGTAAGACATCTTGATACCGCATTTGCCCGGCAAGCTGTCTCTATGTTTGTCCAAAAGCCCATCACGAGAAGCCGGTAAATTCAGAGACCATGTCAAGTAACGATGTGTGGAGATTCGACATTTCTCAATAGATACTTCGTCCTCAGCGAGGAAGCTCTATGCTGTGAAGCAGTCACTTCCACGTTAGGAATCATCACTAGTGAAATCGGACTTTGAACCCCAAAAATTTAGACCAGTGGATAAACAAAACCGGTTGGCTCTCACTCTAATATGTCAAAAACTGGCACTACTAATAAGATTTTTGACCCAAGCTTTGCGCTGCACTTTGAACCCCAAAAATTTAGACCAGTGGACAAACAAAACCGGTTGGCTCTCACTCTATGTCAAAAATAAACTGGCACTACTAATAAGGTTGTTGACCCAAGCTTTGCGCTGCGGATCACGTGATCCACTCTACACAGCCAGTTAGTGCCCACTACATGGTGGTGTGCCTGATCATGTCTGCGACCAAATAGTGAATTGATAACCTACCGCGACATCATTTCCTGATGCCCTGAAAAATTTGATACCCGCAATCCGACAGTTCAAAGGGAGAAACAGGGATCCGCTCCGTGGCCGAGTGAAGATTAGCAAGTCTGACGGCCACCACTAGGGCTGAGATAATGGGCCGAAAATCTGGGGTGATACGAAAAACACTTTCCAATGGTTCCAAAACCTGCGGCCACCTGAAACCACTGAAAATCACCTCTTGACGAGCACCACGCACACTACTTAATGAGCGGACGCCAGAAGCCTCCAACACACGCAGTCAGTGGAGTTGCCGGTTTAAGGAGTCAGTTTCAGGTTACTGGAGATGGCATAAGTGGTTAGAGCGAATTTACTGGCCAGAATGCCCGTGGTTCAGATCCGACCTCTGCATCTCGAATTCTCTTTTCTAGGCTTGGGCAAGCTAGCAGTATCCCAGCCCTCGTGGTTTCTCCGGGTAGCAGGACAGCGTGGCACCGTGTGCCACAGCTTACCCTTTCTTGTTGAAGTCAGACGTAACTAACGACAAGACCGCCATTTGCCTTACTCCACAAGGAAAGCAACTCAACAGGTATTAGTTCACAAGACCCTTTTAACTGACAAGGTGACAGCCCCCTTGGATCGATTCCTACGACACAGCCACTGACGGCAGTTTCAATTTGGTTACACGTGATCCACGACCGTTACGAGCAATGCAGACCTGCAGTGAACGGTCACAAGATACGAGATCAGGGATTAACAAACTTCACCGGGAACAACGCCCCCGAGACAGTAAATCGGTGCAGAATGATAAATACCATCTTGATACTTACTTCAAATCTCGTAAACTCGGATGTTTCCTACAGAGTTCACCGAGACAACAGATACAGATTACTCAGGTTCCTAACAATCACTTGCAATATTTCGAGACTAGTCACGAAATCCACAGAGCACGCCCAAATAGCAGAGGCGTACGCAAGCTCCAACCAATATCTCAGCTGTCAGCATAACACAATATAGCGAGAAATATATAATTAATAAATGGGCAGGATCCAAGATGAAACCCCTACACATGCACTGCGTTCACGGGTCATCTCTGGAAAACGGGGGACGCCGGGGGGAACCGGCTCAGTTCAGCATCCGTTCACGCTTGAGCATCGCAGCGAGCTGCAATGTGGCCATACGCTTGACATTTATAGCACTGGGGACCAGAGTTTCCGCCTTCCGAACAATCGCGAGCGAAGTGACCATACTGCTGACACCTAAACCAAAGTATCAGAAAACACATCCACCCGTATACCTGTAACACTGAACGCCACTCGATCCACCGTTGCTTCTGTTATTGGGGCAACTACGCGCCATATGCCCCGACTCCCCACAGTTGTAACATCCTCCTCGATCACCTCCTCTGCTTCCGCCTCCACCGCCACCACCACTGCCACCATAACCACCGCTTCTCTGCGCAGTGCAATCACGCGCAAAATGACCAGATCCACCACAGTTGTAACAGGTGTCTACAATATATAAAGGAACACGGATCACGCTACCAGAAGTCCTAACATCGACAGGAAGCTGTCGACGTCAACATAAACCGACGCAAAACTGCTCACACTAACGACAGCCGTGCTCCATCCGACACATTCCAAACCACGGCTATGTATCGACTCACCACAACGTGCACTCAGAGAACTCACCCCGACCACCGCCGTATCCTCCTCCACCGTATCCACCAACATAGCCACGACCATTCACACAGTCCCGGGCCATATGCCCTGGCTGCCCACAGTTGTAGCACGCGTCTGCAACACAAAGAGAAGCTCAGCAAATGCTACTGGTCGACGCGCGCCTTTCTGCACTTGATTTACCAACCACACATTGTAGTGCCACAACTAGCTGCTCCTCAGTGCTGACTACAAGAGCGCCGAAAAGCAAATCACTCAAGACCGATTTAACAACATTCACAGAGGTCAACTTACCGCATCCTCCTCGATCACCTCCTCTGCTTCCGCCTCCACCGCCACCACCACTGCCACCATAACCACCGCTTCTCTGCGCAGTGCAATCACGCGCAAAATGACCAGATCCACCACAGTTGTAACAGGTGTCTACAATATATAAAGGAACACGGATCACGCTACCAGAAGTCCTAACATCGACAGGAAGCTGTCGACGTCAACATAAACCGACGCAAAACTGCTCACACTAACGACAGCCGTGCTCCATCCGACACATTCCAAACCACGGCTATGTATCGACTCACCACAACGTGCACTCAGAGAACTCACCCCGACCACCGCCGTATCCTCCTCCACCGTATCCACCAACATAGCCACGACCATTCACACAGTCCCGGGCCATATGCCCTGGCTGCCCACAGTTGTAGCACGCGTCTGCAACACAAAGAGAAGCTCAGCAAATGCTACTGGTCGACGCGCGCCTTTCTGCACTTGATTTACCAACCACACATTGTAGTGCCACAACTAGCTGCTCCTCAGTGCTGACTACAAGAGCGCCGAAAAGCAAATCACTCAAGACCGATTTAACAACATTCACAGAGGTCAACTTACCGCGACCACCGCCGCCGCCGCCTCCTCCTCCACCTCCACTACGAGAACCACGGTATCCGCCACCACCGCCCCGGCCCCTAGAACCGCTTGGACAATCGCGTGACATATGCCCCGACCGACCACAATTGTAACAGCTGTCCGACATCTTGGATAACAGTAGCTGTGCCGCCGCCGCCGAGAGACAATCGGATGTTGTGGACGGCGCCGGTGATTAAAACAAAGAGCAAAACTCCTCCTTTAACTGGTTCTTCCCAGAGTAGCTTAGGCAATTTTTACAAGAGATGATCCTCTAAGGATGTTTTCACAAAACTGCATGTGTGGTGTTTCGTCTCAGTATGTGACACTCATTTGAGCGCATATTTTAAAAATTCTCAGACCATCAAAGGAGGTCGTCGATATTTATAGGACACATGCTTTTTTATTTGGGGTCTTTGTGCGTCGAAAGTCGTAGTACATGTTTGAATGAATATGCTTAGGTCAGGAAGTGCTACAATCTGTCTTGCTGCCGTCGCATCGACCTGCATTCTAACATCAAGTTCCAAATTTGCACGGCATGACACATTAGTGTGAGTTCATTTTGAGGGTCACTACTTTCCATCTCTCACAGCATTTGAGGCGGCTTCAAACGAGTACACGAGTATTACGTGCAGCGAGCAAAAAGCGGCCTCGTTGTTTGCTGAATGAATGCCTGTATTATGTATGCAGCAGGCACCAGCGAAAACAACGAAACATCACAAAATCAGATAAAGTAAGTTGGTAGACCGCAACCGGTAATGACGACCTATGCTCGAAACACCGAATTCTTTGCCCGGCCTTGTCCACAGAAGACCAGGGAATCATCTATCGGTCACCTCTTACGCCTTTGTTTGCAACCACAAAGTGACCCATTTTTGTGAAACCGGCTGCCTGTAATCCGACTGCTAACTAAAGAAGAGTTCGGTTCTTCATGGCCATTCTGAAATGTGGATTAGCGTAACGTGCAATGCGGTAGTTTATAGCCGTTGAGTACGTTGATACTGTCACCAGTCAGGATATCTAAGGTCACCGTCTGAAATATGCACCGCTTCTTTCGAGTAAGTAACAGAGGCAGATGATCTACTTTTTGTATTGACGATGCTTCGAGACAGAAACTTGTGCTGAAGTCGGCGCAATGACACGACAGTCGCATATGTTTCATCGGAGAGCGACAAACGGTGTTTCGGGATAATTTCCAGATGATGCGAATGCGGATCAAACCCATACAACGAAGCAATTTGGTCGAGTTTCAGCCCACGGATGACGTGGTTACCTCGTTTACAACCATTTATGCCACTGGGCATACTGGTTAATTTTCTGCTGAGTGTAATCCTCTTGCCCTCTTCAGGGTGATGATAAGTGTGCAGTAATCGGTGAAAACGTTCGGTTTGGACACAATGGCGGTGCAAACACAAGTTTGCAAGATCGTGTTCAGTTGTGATACTATGTTGTGCCATTTCCATGTACACAAAGCTATCGGACAGCACGTCAATATCATGTAAACGCCCTGCATTTTGGCCACAGACAACCTCTGGCAACCACCGCCACGTGTGTGTGGTTGCTCTTCCAGACAATGCCGCATGGAGGATGCTTCTGTCATGCTACTGATTCACATTCTACCATGACCCACGAATTCTGCGCAGCAGGAAAGCACGATTCGTCTCTCGCCTTACGGCTTACTGGCTCACAAGACCACAATATCGGCGCACGGGAAATAATACGGTGAGGCAAACTTGTGTCAACTGGCTTAAAATTTCTGGCACTTATCCCCAAGTTTTCTAAGACGTTTGACGCCTTCACTGGTGAATGGGCGTGCCTCTTCTACCCAACTATTCTTGGTGATCAGGAAGACAGTACATCCCAGGCAGGGAGGCACATACTCACAAATGCCTTCTCAGCTCACTTGCACACCCACCAAAGTAACTCGTGATTACAACATCACGAAACAAGGAATTGCCCTCAAGTCGCAGGATATAGCTTTTGTCTGCATTTTTAACAAGTCGACATATCGCGTTGACCGCCTGTGTTCAAAGATTAGCCCAGCGTATTATTAAGCTAGTATTAAGTATTAAGTATTGGTATTAAGCATTAATGAGCCTTGAAACTACTGCAACCTTAGTGAGTAGTCATGCCTGAGCGCTAACATGGCCATTCAGGCTACACTGATGGAACTCCGTTCCAACAGGTTCAAGCGTAATTGAAAGGCCAATGGGTAGTGACTCGACTAATTGAAGCATATAGCCCATCACAGGTTTTTACGGGGTAACCAAAGATCTTCAATCTAAAGAAGTTAAATATGTATAGGCATCTAGGTTGACCGTTGAAATCCGCTTGGATTGTAGTCCGTTCCTCCCGTAATGAGGCATCCTACATGTTGATTCACCCTGTGAATCGACGGTGAACAAGGTAACCTTCCTTGTTTTCTGACCACTCATGAGTAACATGACTTACACCTGTTTATTATGGCACCGTTTCGTTTTCTTGCTGCGCGTTCCCCCCACCGTTTCTTTCCTAATTAAGGTCTGCTCATCCCTCAGTAAGTGATATCAATATTTGTTGCCCGTCTGTCATTGCCTGCAAGTTCGCCTCGATTGCACCTATTTTTTGAGCGCCCACTCCGACGGAAAAGCGAGCTGACCGGGTATCGAACCCGGATCCTCCGGACGGCAGGCGAACGCGCTACCGACCACACCAGCCTGACGCCCATGGCGTTGATTATCTTGTATTACCCATGTATCGCGCCTGCCAGATAACCCTTGCTGAGCTTTGTTTTAAACGGACGGTCGGAGTGGACGCTCGTGAATAGGTGCAATCCAGACGAACTTGCAAGCAATGACGGACGGGCAAATTAAGTATTGACATCAGTTACTGAGGCATAAGCAGATCCTAAGCCGGGACGAAACAGGGGGGAAAACGAGCAAAGAAACGAAACGGTGTCGCAATAAACAGATGCGAGTCACGTTACTCATGAGTAGTCAGAAAATAAGGAAAGTTACCGCTGGTCACCGTTGATTCGCAGGCGCAATCAACATTTCCTCTACGCGATGAATTCCCCCGTCGCCCGAGCGAGACCTCCCCATCGTTCTGAAAGACAGAGCTGCATGGCTGGAAATGGAGATTGCCAAAGTCCGTCGCGAAATGGCTAACCTTCGGTGTTCTGCTACCGCTACAGACAGAAGACTCCAAGACTCTGTTGGACCTCCATCTTACCCAGTTGTCCGGGAGGGGGCCATCACCCCCAACTATCATATGACGCCTCCAAGGAATCCACAGATGACGTCCACATTGTATCCACATCTTCGGGAACTGCTTAACCTCGGCATGGGTATGCCTTAGAGAAAGGTACCAAAGTTCGACGGTAACCCTCTGAATTACTGGAAGTTTCTGAGGGTTTCACCAGTGGAGTAGCCCACTACGTTGCGGATCCCGCAAATCACCTAGCCTTCTGGCTCGATGCATGTGAAGGTGAAGCACGAGAAGCAATCGATCACTGTACAATACTTGAGCCGGAACACGGCTACGCAGAAGCCTGGAAAATATTGGCTCGCAGGTTCGGCAACCCCTCGACGATCGCAAGACAGTATACTGCGTCAGTCACAACCGGGTCGCCCATCAAACCGAACGACGTCAGCTCACTACTCAAGCCGGCCGACACAATGAAGGCTTGTTGGTTGGTACTCTCCCAACTGAACTACTCATCAGAGCTTAGTACTAGAATAACCATAGGCGCTAATATTAGCCGCGTTCCGACTGCTATCCAGTCACAGTGCTTCGACCGGGCCTCGGAAATCCTTAGGAAAAACCGAGAGCCCAGTTTTGCCCATCTGACTGATTATGTTCTAGATAGAGCAGATGCGTTATCAGTTAGGGAGTCTTATTTGCCGAATGTTTCCCAGCCGAGCACCAGCAAGTCAGAACGCCCCCGTAGCTTTGTGACGGCACCATCCACACTTGTGACGACGTCCGCGGCTAATAAGCCTGGTAATGGAGAACATAGCCCGACGATGTCCCGTCCGTGTATGCACTGTGGCAAAATGCACTACCTTGGCCAATGCTCGCAGTTCGTCCTCTTGGACGCTGATTCCGGTGAAACGATCATCCGCCCAGCTGCACTATGCGATCTTTGCGTCAAGCCAAGGCATAACGCGAAACAGTGCTGATCGAGGCGATGTTGCGGACTTAATGGCTGCGAAGGTCTACACCACCCATTGCTTTATACACCTACTCAGCCTTCAGCTAAGTCAGTGGGGTCAACATGCCAGGAAGAATGCCGTCCAGACCTCAGTGTCAACTGTGCCAGCCAATCGTGTAATCGGACAACCATGGCGCTCGGCGTACTGCCTGTAACCCTTCGCGGTCCCCGTGGAGATTATAGAGTCAATGCACTTCTTGACAGCGGTTCGGACTGCACAATGCTGAAAGAGGATGTCGCCTTAAATCTCGGGCTATCGGGATTGCCCGCAAACATAAGCGTTTCCACTCTCAACGGTCAGAATTAAGTATCGCCCACTCGGGTCAGTCTTGATATAGATACATCGCCGCCGGCCAAGACGCCGCAATCTCTCAAGGCATGGACCGTTCTACAGCTCCCGTCGATTACTCAAACCTTACCAGCTAGAGAGAAGTGGTCTAAATGAGATCACTTGAAAGGAATCCCATTCGAGAATGCCGGAAGCCAAACAATATCCCTATTGATTGGGATGGACGTACCGATGGCACAGTGGGCGCTGGAAAGCCGAACGAACAGGCCACACGAGCCTTACGCCACTCCAACACCACTCGGCTGGGTCCTTTTTGGGCCGGTAAATGATACGAACGAGAGGTTGGCTCGAATCAACCAGCTCAGCCGCCATGTGGAAGACCGTCTGGATTCAACGTTAGAAGCCACGACCGACATCGAGTTCAGA